AATACATTTTTAAAAGAATGAAAATGAACATTAATTCTTAAAGCATTTAAATTAAAAAACGAAAAATGTCAGGCTCTGGTCTATACTTAGTCTCTCCTTCTGGGAGAAGGGCCTGGGGAAGGGTGGGCAGCACTGTTTCGTACCTGCTTTTCTGTGCCATGACCTGCTGAGGTAATGTAATTGTTGGGGACTACAGCTTCATTGGATTTTGATAATTTTCCAGATGTGGGAAAACGTGCAAACTTAGTCAGTGCCCTGGTGGCCACCATTATCTTGTCCAGTGCCACCACTGCCTGCACAGCAGTGTCGTAAATAGCCACTTCCCAGGGTCTTAGTGGGGGATCCTGGGCTCCAGGAAGAGTGAGTGAAGACCGCTTGGTTTCCACTCCCTCCCACGAACAATGGGGCCAAAACACTGCTCTCTTCTCTCCACCTGCCCCTCCTACCCCTTGATGAAGGTTACCCATTGTCTAAGTTGGTCACAGGATCTATTCTTCAGCTGTGATTTTGTATGTAACACAAAGCTAGTTAGAAGCTTGATATTTGGGGACAAATCCGATTCTGGCTACAAATAACATGGTCACAAAGCTTTGCAGTGTGTGTGCCAGTGAATTAACAACGTAAAGATAACAAGTCTGTCACCGGAGGATTGCCTTTGAAGGCCAATGGCTCAGTGACTTTAAAAAGGCCCTTGCCTGCACATTTCCTCCTGCTCCCTGCCTTTGGCAAAGTCCTATTAATTTTGTTGAAGGTTTTATTTTCTGCTGAAAATGCAGGAAATTTAGACAACTCTCTTGGAATCCCCCCAAAACTAATACAAACAAGATACATATGCTCCTCCTAAGGAAACTAAAAATAAATTATTTGAAACTATTTAACTGTATAAATTCCCTCTTAAAAGGAAAAGGAAGTTTATAGAATGAAAGGCATCTCTGAGTGCTGTTAACTAGGTAAAATATTCCCACAACTGTCAACTTGTCTATTAGATATTAAATTACTACCTAACATAGAATTTGTTGGGCTTTCATTCCCAACATGTTCAAATAAAACATGAAATGGGAATCTTTTTTTTTTTTTTTACATTGAAATTGCAATGAAGTAAGTATGCACCCACCTTTTTTTTTTTTTTTTTTTTTTAATCTAGGCCTTATTCCTGTCACGGAAGCCATATGTTCTAAAAAGAAAAGACCATGAGTACAATAGATGAGGTAACACATATCTTGTTATCTCTCCATATTTTGTTGCTCTGTCAATGAGATTTTTATCTCTGACAAAGCTAATCTTGACAGCTCAGAGAATACATGGTTAACTTTTAAAAGCATATAATTTTTATAAAACTTTATTTTATTCTATAAGGCTGTTTTCTGCATAGGGTTTTCTAGAAGACTAATTTTATAAATAAAAATTGTGACTCAAATTTAAGACTTAGAAATGTGACTTCCGAGTTTTGGGCATTTATGGTAATTAGTGGAGCAACTTTAGAAAGACATTTATCTTTTTTGTTCTTTTTGTAATAATGTCTAAAGTTACAGTGATTTTTCCATTTTAAAGTACTTTAATAATATTTTTGTTTTTATTTTGGAGCATATTCACATGGTGCTTACCTGGTGTTACACACTGCTTTAAGGGTTTTTACAAATACAGCCTCATTTAAGCTTCTTGGAAAAAAAATTGAGGGCTGGGGTTGTGGTGAGTGGTAGAGCACTCACTCGCCTAGCATGTTCGAGGCCATGGGTTTAAACCTCAGCACCACATAAAAATAAATAAAATAAAGGTATTGTGTCCAACTACAACTAAAAAATATTTTTAAAAAAATATTAAATGGGGGCTGGTACATAGCTAGCAGTAGAGTTCATGCTTAGCATGTGCAAAGCCCTCCATTCAATCCCCAGGCACCAAAAGGGGGRAAAAAATGTTAAATACCATTTGAAGTCTTGGCACCCAAATAATGATTAAATTGGACAATTCTTTAGGTCTATTTAAATGTTGAAATTTGGATGAATTTGTAGTTTTTCTAAAAACTCTCTAATCAATTTGTTCTAGTTTTTTTATCATTTTACAAGTGGTCATTATTGCCCAATAATGCTTTTTTAAAATGAAACATAAAAGATATGGTTAACTGCCATATCTAGTAGTGACCTGCASCAGAATCTAGTCATAGTAGCAACTTAAAGACTCAAATAACTTACAAATTATATTTATTTTGATAGTTTTTCTTAGAAATTAAAATTAGCCAAAATGTTGATTATCTTATTTTTGGTGAACATAGTTTACCCCTTTGGCCCATGATTATTTCACAATCTCCTTGATATCTTAAAGCTACAAATGATCTTCCAACAGAAATGGAAGGACCACAGAGCATGGTTTCTAGGAACAACTTACATTGTAGGAACTCTGGCTGTTTCTTAAAGATAATTAAAGTAGGGCTGGGGATGTGGCTCAAGCGGTAGTGCACTTGCTTGGCATGCGTGCGGCCCGGGTTCGATTCTCAGCACCACATACCAACAAAGATGTTGCGTCTGCCGAAAACTAAAAAAAATGAATATTAAAAAAAAAAAGATAATTAAAGTAGTGGTTTACACTTTATTTCTTAAGGATAATTAAAGTAGTGGTTGTTACTTAAAAATGAAAATGAATTTGTTGCAATATTATATGTTCTGTGTTCAAGGATAAGCTGGTATACTTGAAATGAACATTATAGAAGGAAAGAGACTCTAGCTCTAAAGGAAGTAGCTTTAGTGTCTAGTGTTGAGTATGTTTTGTGATGTTATGATTCTTTGACCAAATTCTAAACTTTCTAACTCAGAATTAAACTAAAGAATTACTAAATTGAATGAAATGATACATGTAGCAATTTTTGGTACTATATTTAGAACATAATAAAACTAATCAATGTAGATGGCTGACTTCAAGTAATCTCATTTAATTTCTCAAGGAATCGTTCCTTTGAGAGTAGTTGTGAAAATAACTGTAATTGACATCCAGCTGTTGCAAGTTGGTGGGGCTGCTCGGGTTGTGTACAGCCTCATCTAATAGAACTAACAGTGTCTACTAGTTGTTAAATATTTAGAATTTCACCCCTGGGTATATCCAGGAAGGAAACTGACCCTATCTCATAAAAAGGATAGTTGTGCTGAGGTCTGGAAAGTCTTTGTGTTGAAATTTTAATAACCTAAATTATAAGTTTACATGTTAAAATAGATTTTGACAGAAAATGTAACCAGCTCCTCTTTAAGTTTAACTTAGTGTTCTTAATTGTGTATAATTTTTCGTTTTTGTTACCCTGTTTCACAGCATGAAAATATAGAAGTGCCTTTTATCATGACAATACAGCTAAATTTAATATTATATAAAATATCATTGCTACATCTTCCCACATTATATTTTCAATTTGAATAACATTAGAAACTATATGTTCTTGTCATTCAATTTACATATCTGTAGCTGAATATAGTCTATAAAAGGTAGCATTAGAACTTACGTTAGAAAAACAACATAAAATAAGTTAAATCAGATATCTAGAAATGCCTTTAAATATATAAGGGTTAATATAATTCTTAAAGAGCCTTCAGTCAGATTGATGCAAAGTAAAAATTAATGCAGAGCATTGCATATTGATCTAAAGTTTTCAGTTTATACTTTCCTGACTTAGGAATGAAATAAATGGTCAATATTTTAGCTTGGGTTTAAATGAGCAGGTCCTGTTTGAAGGTTGTGTATGTTTTCCTTTTTGCTTCAGCAAATTATTTAATTAAATATTGAGAATAAATGTTGTGTTTGAAAGTAGAAATTGTAACCCATCAACAGATAATCCTGTAAACATAAATTGAATATATTAGACTTAACATAAATGAGTATATGAAATATTTATTAACATAAAATTCTACAGGAAGCTAGTATTTTGGCCAACTTTTGTTTCTGAAGTAGTCATACTATCCCACTGAGTTGCTTTTAAATGACCTGAGAGAAAATTCTGAAACTCCATATCTTCTCCTCCACTAGTCATTCGAACACTAGGTGAGATGAAAATACAATTAAGAGAACTTACAGTTTAGATTATGTTGTCAGTTTCAAATTTGAAGCCTGATCTCCTCCCCTTTGCAATAAAAACATACCAATAATAGATGAATCATAATAAGGAAACATTTAAAATACATAGCCACACCTAAAAATGACAGGGATGTTTCTTGATGAACCCAAAACAGAAAAAGCACTCAAAGCAGGGAGCTGAGTGCTCCAGAGAACCTGCTGAGCCTTGGGCCTGGCAGGCAGCAGGAGTGGTTGGGAGCTCAGCCTACTCCTGCAAGCAAGAGTTCTGGAGATCTCCAAGGTACCAGGACCACACTGGGCCACTTTCCTGCTGGAAGCTGGGAGCTGGACTAGATCTTTCACTAAAAAACTTGCTCATTGCTTACCTTGAGTTTTGATGCTGGCAAATCATTTTATATTCAGATTCCCAAAGACTGCTAACTCTAAGAAACAGTGACAAAACCACAGGCTATTTATCTGTAAATATAATGGTTGAAATGACAGTACAGAAAACTGAGGTTACTTTCTGATTTAGGAACTTTTCTGGGAAACAGTAAGACCCCCCTTTACTAATTTACATTGTGAAAGTCTAATGATTTAGGATAAGATTGCAAATGAGGATCTGTTGAAGCTGAGTAAGCTCTAAATTGGTGACTCTATCATTTATTCATATTTATTATATGAGATTCCTAATTATCACCATAATAAGATCAAACAATTTTAATTCGAATCCTTTAGTAACTGCTAAAACTAATTCTAGCATTCTGTTGTCATATATACCTACCTAGAGTAATTAAATTAATTTTTAAAAAGAAAAAAATTCTAAAGACTCTTGATAGAAATAACCGTGAACAGCTCTCCTACAAGATCTTTTTAATGCTGCTCTAGTTTTAAATAATTACTTGAATTTTGATTACTTCTATAGCAAGGAGGAAACCACTGACTCTGTGTTGGGGTTTACTTTCTCATAGGCACAGGACCTTAATGTCATTGAAGAAGTGATTCGAATGATGTTGGAGATCATCAATTCCTGCCTGACAAATTCTCTCCACCACAACCCAAACTTGGTGTATGCACTGCTTTACAAACGCGATCTCTTTGAACAGTTTCGAACTCATCCTTCATTTCAGGATATAATGCAAAATATTGATCTGGTAAGTTGTAAATGAAGGTATTTATTATTTTTTTAAGTACTAAAGCAGAAAAGCTGTAATTTGACAAACCTTGCTATGAACTGTCTACAACAGTGAGTCCTTTCCTTAAACTATATAGCCTATGGTGTATAAGAATTATTATTGCTTTGCATCCTAGTTTTAATGGTTTTGCCAATTTTGTAATGGCATCTCAGTATGGTTTCAATTTGTAATTCCTTGATTATAATTTTATGTAACAATTGTTGCATTCCTGTGTGTGCATATGTGTGTGTATGTATTAAACACACACATTAATAGAATTGAGATCATACCTAAACAATTCTCTGTTCTGTTCTACTTAACATTTAGATCGTGAACATTTTTCTGTGGTATCATCAGTTCTTTGAACCGTACACTTTAGTACCTATCTGCATTGTAGATACCTAAAATATATTAACCATTATCCCATTGTTGCCACTTTTGATTATTTTCAGTGTTTTATCAATTCATGGTTAATGAACTGTTTATAAATAAATCTTAGCTCACATTTTCAAATTATATTTTTAGTGTTATAACTGGAATTTTACTGGTTTTGCCATCAGAGATTATGTATATCTTCAAGATTCAACATAGGCTGCTAGATTGCTTTCCAGAAACATTGTACAATTTATGCATCTGTATATCATTATATATTTCCACAAGTGACCTGTGAGAGGATCTGTCTCACTACACTTTTGCAGCTTGGAGCATTAAAATTATTTTAATGTTTGTCTTTTTTATAGCAAACTGGTATTTCATCATTTTTATTTTTATTTCTCTAATTACTAGTATGATTGAAAATTTTTTACAGGTCTATGAACTTTTGCTTCCTGTCCTTTCCAAAAAGATTTTGGTTAAATTTTCTATTGCTATTTGTTTTCTGATCAAATTTGGTTCCATAAATATTTTTTGAATGACTAATATGATTCATGGCATTAGACACTAAAGTTTACTAAAGAGCCACACCCTGTTTTGTGTTATTTACATCTAGGAAATTATTTGATAATAAACTGTCACTCAAGCAAATATTATAATTTCAATAATAGCTAAGCATAAGTATATGCCTTTCGCTAGAGTGTCTATGCAATAATGGAATTGTTATATGACCTGTCTCATAACCCTAAAGGGTTTACCCTGGAGTATCTGTTAATCAACTTTGCAGTCGCTATAACTAAAATACCTGACAAGAACAACTTAGGGGAGGGAAAGTTTATTTTGGTTCATAGTTTCAGAGATTGCTTTGGTCCCAAGGTGAGATAGAATGTCATAGGAGAAAGGTGTGGTGGAGGAGTGCTGCATCACAAATGACAGCCAGGAAGCAGAGAGAGGGAAGTCGGAGAAGGGACCCAGTTCCTCCCGCCATGCCCCACCTGCCTACAGTTACCACCCAGTCCATTTACACTAGGATGGACTGATGAGGTTACAGCTCTCACCATCCATTTCACTTCTGAATATTCTGCTTTAACACAGGGGCTTTGGGGGGAACATCTCATATCCAAACCGTACCAGAGTACTACCATTTTACATTCCAGGCTACAGTGTATAAGAATTCCTGTTGCTTAACATCCTAGCTTTAATAGTTTTGCCAATTTTGTAAAGGCATCTCATTACAGTTTTAGTTTGTAGTTCCTTTTTTACTGAGAATGAGTATGTTTCATAGGTTTAGTGTTCATTTGGATTTTCTGTTTTGTAAAGTGCCTATGCAAATCTTTTGCCAGTTTTTCTATTGAAGTATTTATGTTTCTTATTAATATTACATTTTATTACTATTATTCCATTATGCTCTAGATTTTTGGTGTCTAGCAATCACTAGCACAGCTACAGAGTCTTCTAACAAATATCTTCTCTCAAAATGATAAAAAAGATCAGGGGACATTCTGCTCCATATTTCCTTGGGGATCTGATTCTTGCTGCACACAGTGTGCGCTGGTTCTCCTGCACAGCTACAGTGGCTTCCTGGGAATTTCCCTCACTGTTTTCCTTTGGTCAAACCTAGCTCCTGTGTCTTCCTCTTTCTTGGTTTATGGTTTCATGTTTGTAGACAGTTTATTATCATATACTACATTAACTTTTTGGAAAAGGATGATATGATGTTGATTTTTTTTAAGTTGATACATAATTGTACATATATGTAGGGTATAATGTGATATTTCAATAAATGTATATAATGTGTAATTATTAGATATGGGTAATTTACATCCTCATCACCTCAGAACATTTATCATTTCTTTGTTGAGAACGTTCAAAGTTCTTTCTTCTAGATAGTTAGTATTTATTTATTTATTGTATTTTATTTTTTGGATACTGGGAATCAAAGCCAGGGGCACTTAGCCAGTGAGCCACATCTCCAACCCTGTTTTATATTTTATTTAGAGATGGAGTTTCACTGAGTTGCTTAGGACCTCACCAAGTTGCTGAGACTGGCCAAAGATTTTTAAAAAATGTTTTAGCCTTCCTGCTTGAAAATGTTTTTCTTCTTCCTTTATGTATGATCTATTCTCTTGAAGCTTTTCCACTTCTTGATCTTGTGTTCTCAGGTGATTTCTGATTTGCTGAACCTTGGTTAACTGTATTAGGCACTTGGAGGAGGAGACTGAACTCTAGACTGGGTAGACGGTGGCTTATAGTTAAATAATTAATGTTAATTGTATGCTTTGGTAAAAGATGAGAATGCAGAAACACCAGGGATGGGCAAAACAGTCCCTGCTCTGATCCTGACTTACAAAGAAACTGTCCAGAAAGAAGGCAGAGAGAGCCTTCATCCCTTACTAACAGCTGATCCTAACAGCAGTCATGGATTGTAATGTTGAGCAGAAGTTGTTGTTTTTTGTGTGTGTGTGTGTGAAGGCAACTTTATAGACTATTTATTTATTTTATTTATTTCTAAAAAAGCTACTTTGTACCACTGTAGATTCATTTCTATTTCTTTCTTTTTAAACATTTATTTATTTGTTTGTTTGTTTATTTATTTATTTTTATTAATGTGGTGCTGAGGATTGAACTCAGGGCCTCACACATGCAAGATGAGCACTCTRTCGCTGAGTCCCAGCCCCAGCCCCTCATTTCTGTTTCTTGCTCGTACTATTTTTAGAAGTAAAACACTTGTTTAATATTCATGATACCTCAGAATAAAAGTTTAACAAATTTCTTCCTTATACACGAGAAATTGTCCTTGAGTTAAGCTGTTCCTCACTCAGTTCATTAGAAAACTAATGAAAGTGATGTCAGCTGCGTCACCAGTGTCCCTGCTATGGTAAAATGATAATATGATAAAATGATATTTGATGGGTAAGCTGAGTCTGCACTGAGAGGAACTGTACATACCTGATAGGAAGCAATAGCTTTGGGCTGCTCTGAGCAAGAGAACTCTTATAACCAGGCATGTTCTTTTCAGGAACCCAGAAGCTAAGACTTTCACAGGGTAATGTTTTCAATTTGAGACATGGTTTCCAAGCTAGGGTGCCTGCTGCATCCACCCATAGCAGTCTCATTCTCTTGATCTGAACTGTCATTCAGGGGCCAAATTTCAGTCCTAAAACTATTGTAAGGATTTTCAAGGAAAACAAAAATCTGTGGCTATGCTATTAGCATGCTTTTTTTTCCTGACCTTTTATCCTTTTAAATTAACCTGATGTCAAGCATGGCCTTTTACGGTCTCAACATTCTTGATATGTAATTGGCCTAAGAATATCACCCAGGCATAGGCATTGCAGTGGTAAAATAGTATGTTCTTATATTTATTTATACATGTGTCACTTTCAAGCTCTAGGGTAGAGCTTATTTCTGATTTTCCAAGATTTATCCAGATCTTTACATCATAAAAATATTTAATATATCCTTCTTATGGTTTGGATATGAAGTATCCCTGAAAAGTTCCTGTGTTATTACAAGGATGTTCAGAGGTAAAGTGACTGGATTGTGAGAGCTCTAACCCAATTAGTGCATCATAGCTTGAATGGTAACAGAACAGGTGGCTGGAGGAAGTGGGTCACAGGGGGCGTACCCTGGAAAGGGTTGTTCTTTTCTGTAACACCTTCCCCACTTTCTTCTTTTCTTTGGGGTACCAGGGATTGAACTCAGGGGCACTTAACCTCTGAGCCACATCCCCGCCCCTTCTTATATTTTATTTTGAAATAGCCTCGCTAAGTTGCTTAGGGCCTCACTAAGTTGGTGAGGCTAGCTTTGAACTTGCAATCCTYCTGCCTCAGTCTCCTGAGCTTCTGGTAATGCAGGCGTGTGCCACTGTGTCCAGCCTTTCTCCACTTTCCCTCTGCTTCCTGGCCAGTCATGAGGGGAGCAGCTTTCCTCTCCTGGACCATCCACCATGACGTCCTGCCTCACCTTGGGCCTAGAGCACTATACTCAGCCCACCTTTGATACTATGAGCCCAAATAAACTTCCTCCTCTAAATTGTTCTCATTGAGTATTTTGGTCACAGCAATAAAAAGCTGACTAACACGATCCTTTTCAACCTTTGTGTTTCTAATCTTTGTTGTCCTATTCATTTGAATCTGCCTTAATGACAGTCCTCTGTTACATCTATATCCTAACTTATGCATTTCTCTGGCACTCTCTGATTTCAGTTTCTTTTTCCATACCTTCTTTTTTGTTTTGTCTTTTTTTAAGGACAGGCACCTGAACTATGTACTGATACATGCCTGATAATGTACACCAATTATATTCGGGGGTAATGCTCTCTGATTAATTCCAAAGAACTTTCACTGGGATTGCCAATGTTTTCTTTGCGTTTCTCAAAAGACTAACCCAGAGTTCTCTGACCCTCTCCCATGGTCATGAATGTCATAGGTGATAGATTATTATATGATAACATACCATTTGGATTATTTAGCTTTAAAATTCTATTTAAACCACATCAAAAAACATCTGTTCCTGTTCTCCTCCTTCCCCTCCTATACTTCCTCCTCATTGTCATTGCTAGCTTTTATTGCATGCCTGCTAAGCATTTACATGCATTATCTTAA